AACATGTAAGGCAGATGAGATAAATAAGTGACCAAAATATATATTGTTGCACTTGACGGAAAATCTATTGACAATTAGAATGATCAAGTTAAGGAGGATGAGGTGGGCAGGTCATGTAGCACGAGTGGATGAGACGAGGAATGCGTATAGGATATTGGTGGGAAAGCCAGAAGGGAAGAGACCACAGGGAAGACCTAGGCGTAGGTTGTTGGACAATATTTTTAGAATGGATCTTAGAGAGATGTGATTTGATGGTCTTGATTGGATAGATCTGGCTCAGGATATGGACCAGTGGAGGGCTCTTGTGAACATGGTAATGAACCTTCGGGTTTCAAAAAATGCTGGGAAATTCTTGAGTAGCTACAGAATTGGCGGCTTCTCCAGAAGGGCTCAGCTCCATGAGTAAGTATGTAAGTAAGTAGGTTTCAATGGCTGATCTGTGCGAATCCGTTTATTATTTGTGGGTTCGGAACAAGCGGATAATTGCGTGACTATGAATAACTGCGGAATACTGAAGACAGCCCTGTAAGACATTGAACGGGTTTATTTAGATGGTGAATACTAATACCAAAGGAATATCTAATTTTTTTCTGGCACTACACACCTTGCGGGGCCCGGCCCCTTCCATGGATGTTCTCCGTAAGCTCTGGAGGATTCAAAACAATATATCTGATTGTTTATTATTATCAGAATAACAAGTTGAATGTATCTAGCCATTATTGCACCAATAAATCTACGCCGTGAGTTCTTCCTTATTGTTATATTCCTTACTTTTAACAAGATCCTTGAAGGCATAGAATGACGGGTTGCTTTTCTGTTATTTGTCTCTTCAGTATTGCCGCTAGAGAAATAAGAAGCACTTTCTGTGCTCTTTCTACGATGCTCTCTGGATCACCAATCAATATCAAGGTTTATGGTTTCGCAAGTAATAAAACCTGCTGCAGCCATCGGAGTTCTCTGTCTCGGAAGCTTCTCAGTATGCCCCCCTGTAATTCAACGATAGAGACGAACCTGATATTATGATGGTGCGTCATGAGTAAAGAAGTGACGATGTTTGTCATTTCAAATTGCAGCATACAAGTAGAAACCCACTGAAATCCAGGAAAGCAAAGTAAACACTTGAAACGCTTGTCATTATACCACTGAGTTGACGATATTCTATTTTCTCGTGTCCTGTTTAGAAACATGAAGATCAAAATGTACTAAACTATAATTTTATTTTATGATATTGTGGCTTATAATCCCGTTGCTAAACAGTGACTCTGTAAAGAGCGACAGTTGCTAGGTAACGCCGGCGACATATATGCACGTAACAATAGAAGAAAGAAGTTATGCATCCCGTTTTTAAGCAACGGATGTGCTAACAAGCCTATAGAAATAAGGATATTGTTAACAACGGTATTTTCTATTCGGTCCATGCGAAGTGGTTATAAAGAAGAGTTCAGTTGAGAATTGACAGTCGAGTTCCTGAGTTCCAAGTGAGCAGATAGTCGAGAGTTGGAGTTGAGAGTTCAGGTGTGGAGTGTTAACCAACGGACAACGGTGTGACCATGGAAGTTGAAGAATCTACCTCAGTAGAAGCCGTTGCAAGAAAGCGGCTAGCGGAAACTGTAATAGACTTAACACACTAGTCTCTGTGTGTCATTGAACTGTAAAGTGTAGTTCAATGGAGTATATACAAGTGGTCAATAAATCCATTCACCTATCCGTACCCCGTCTATAAGTCAAGCACCTAAAACCGTGACAATATCTGCTACATGTGTGCGTGAAACTTGGTGATTATTGCTACGGAAGTGTGCAAGACTATTGATAGAGAGCGTCTGAGAATGAAATGATGACGATAATTAGATCAACGAGAGAGGAGAGTGAAGAAAATTATGAAGCAACAGATCTACACGTTATAATATATTCTCATCTTAATACAAGTTCACAGTCTTCAGAATCCACTAAGAGTAGCCTTAATTTCAGTAATTTTCTTGAATAGTATTAAACTTAAACTACAGAGAACAGATCATGTATGTGAGATATCCGTTGGGCACGATGTCAATTAATAAATGTGATATTCCGATTTCAGCGTGCAGAATACGGCGGCACCCAAGTTGCTAAAACGCGCACTCAAAATCAATTAACCTAGAGAATTTCAGTATCGCTGGCGGTCCGAGCTGCTTACTGCATTTGTTACGTCATTTCCGACAGGCATTCACGTTATACAGTGACGAGGAATTAGGCGTTTACGAGTAGCAAGGGACTTGAAGGGAGGGGCGTCCATGCGACTGCCACTGTCTCTGTTGTGAGAAGTTCATGGCTGGCGTCATGAACCTTCCTCATTTATTCATTGTCTTCTAATTGACGGGTGGTATATTTCTTTAAGAAGCGGGAATAAATTTCTAATGCCTTAAACGGAAGAATTCACAAAATGAAATGTCACTTTCTTAATGCCAAATTATCAAAAACGAGATCTGGGGACCCAGTAATGGCGGTATTACGTTTGGTCTGAATGAAACGCCACTACAAAATATTTGATTAACTTCGTTTAGACTTAAGTGCCACATAACTTTAATTTTAAAATCCGGTTTTATATTTGTTAGGTTGATAAACCAGTACAAAATTCAATTTGTTTCGATTTCTTATTAAAGTTTTTGGACCGTCATACAACATCGTTTGAATATTGCATAATAAAACGACTGAGATCAAGAGAAAACAATAAGTTAATCAGTTTATTTAATAAATTTCGTGCATTCGTTGTAATTAACACAAAATTTTGGGAAGAATTAAACCCCTACTTTCTTTCGATAAGAAACGAACGGCATAGAAAATGACGCTTCCAACAATTCTTCCATTGTAAGATTTGAGGCTTTTACGGCGGTGACTATGAAGAAAGCAGTCTTNCAATTCTTCCATTGTTGCGTGTATTCTCTGCCGCGGAAACATGTTTACTGAGTCGTTGCCTAGCAACGATAAGGGGGATAGAAATATATGTACACAGAATGATGGCAAGGAATTATAACGTACACTGCTGAGACGAGCTCAGATGTCGTGGAATATACACCAAGTTTTATAAAGACTGGTTAAGGCATTCCGAAGTTGATAGGCGGCATACACAAAGGACACACAGACAGCAAAGTGATCTTATAAGTCTACATTTATTTTTTCAAAATAAGGGAAGTAGGCTAAAATTGTATTTTGTCACTGACTGTGACGTATATTCTATTTTATTAACTCATAAGTGGATAATTTATATTTAAAATAAAGTCATTTAGACGTGTTAGTCATATCTGGATCTGCATAACACTTTTGAAGATCTGTACAGAAATAGGTGTACCAAAAAATATTCTGATGGTGAAAGAACAGGACTCCGGACCTTAAGAGTGTATGAGGAAGATTATGTGTGCTGTATAAGATCCCGGTCCACGGAAACCCCCTTACGGTTTTACTGGCCCGTAAATAATAAATGGTTTAATACCACTGATCTAAACTTCCCACTTCTCACAATCATTTTGTCATTTCTCATTCGACACCATGCAAACACTCCAATAGACGAAAAGCCGTTAAATAAGCCAATAAATTAACATCACGCGGAAATATTGTTGTCTTTGCAGGCATGACAAAGCATCGGGGACGCCCCGGTCACGTGGCCAATGTGGACCCCCATCATGGCGGCGCAGCAAGTTGACCCATTCAAAGCGCAACGCCAATACGCAGCTTTCAGCCGTAACCAGCAACCAGATGTCTCCTCCGTCGCTACTATCACTACACATCATCACCAGGTACGATAACTTTTAATAAAGTGAAGGTAGAAATTTTCTGCAAGCCGAGAATAATCACGGAACTGTGAAGGTACACCAAAGGCAGGTCCTTATGAACTTCCCAGTATTATTCACCCCTATCAACAGGCTGTATTCCGTTATATTTTCTTCTTCCTCCTCCACTCCCCCCTACGTCTTCATGGCATAGTGTTTAACTAATTAAGGAGATGGACAACTTTACCTTTTACCTCCTCATATCTCATGTCACCTCGTAATTGTTCCACTTCCTACTCTTGTCTCCCCTTCCAATTTTAAAGTCTGTCACCGTTGTCAATGTCCTATACTCCTTTCCGCGAAGTCCTCTCATTTGGCCCATCCATCATATCTTGGTCTTCCCATGGGGCTTCAATCATTTTAGTTTAAGTCTAGTTGTCACTTTGGGCAGTGTGTCTTCTTTCTGTGGATTCATATGACAGACAATTTACGTCTGTTTGATTTGTTTCATTATGGTCCGTCACAATAACAATTACAAATTATAAATCACTCCGTCCAATGTGACCTGTAAGTTTTTCACTACGTAAAAACTTAACACCCTTACATGTTTCGGTCTCTGTGGACCATCTTCAGAGGGCAAACATCACTACAAATAGGAAACCACTATCACATAATTTGTTTACACGCAAAGTATGTACACTTATATGTTACAACACACAGTACACAGAATAGAACGTTTCACAAACACAGCAGTTTCCTGGGAATGTAAGTTTTAAAAATGTATAAGATTCCTTGATGCTAATTAAAAGTTTTTATTATTTTAATCATTTNAATCATTGACAATCTAAAAAACTTTTAATAAATTAGCATCAAGGAATCTTATACATTTTTAAAACTTACATTCCCAGGAAACTGCTGTGTTTGTGAAACGTTCTATTCTGTGTACTGTGTGTTGTAACATATAAGTGTACATACTTTGCGTGTAAACAAATTATGTGATAGTGGTTTCCTATTTGTAGTGATGTTTGCCCTCTGAAGATGGTCCACAGAGACCGAAACATGTAAGGGTGTTAAGATTTTACGTAGTAAAAAACTTACAGGTCACATTGGACGGAGTGATTTATAATTTGTTCGTCTGTTTGCTTCTGAACTGTTGCAGCAGGTGTTACCGCAGGTGCTGGAACGCCGCAGGGTGGGCATGGTCGCGACTGTTCAGCTTGGAGACGGGACGCCGTCCCCGCGACAGAGCGGGGACAGTCACATGATCCCCATAGATGGAAAGCAGGCTCAGCAAGCGCCTTCACATCAGGTAACCTGTCTCTTTTTGCTGTCTTCTACATCACATACCAATTCATCTCTTCTTTCTGTTTTATTTTGATAGATATTCGAAGAGTATTGATACTTCACTCACTTCGTAGCTGTGTTCTCCTGTAAGAAACAATATATGCAAGCAAATGTTTAAATTCTTGCCCCTTTGCTGGCAACAAGATACAAAGATTATAATATAATCACGCATACAGCACTGAGATCCGTCAACCATATCATTTCAACTGCAGTTTCCTGACCCTTACACAACGGCCGTGGGGATTCGTTGCGCTGATCACGTGACACCTATCCGCAAAAGTTGGCACTAACTTCACAGACAAGCGGCGGTAGCTCGATCGGTATAGTTCGCTTGGGGACTACAGGCCACGGAGTTTGTTTTGTTTTACACCTCATTTGTCACTGTCACTCTAACGTAAAAATGGCATGGACAGTGTTCAAGGGAATTCCCTTTAACAAGATATTAAAACATTTTACATGTTCAGCCGTCAAAGCAACAAATGTCTTTATTGATTGATTTAAAATCAACACTACATGTTTCAACCCTTAAAGGGTTATCTTCAGGTGTTCTTCAGATACACGATTAATCACTGTCTTATAACGCACGGTATTATATCAACATCTGCTAACCTTGTATTTGTGTTGTATTAAATATGCTCCTGATTTACATACGTAATACATGAAGTAAAACAGATATATGATGATGTACATCTATATCCTATGTATCCTTCTTATTATTTAATTACACTCCAATTTAACTGCATTGAGATTAAGATAAAAGTTTCCATTAAGAACTGAAAATTAAAAATCAACTTAAAATAATTTTTTCGTTGTGAGCAATAAACAGCTTCATGTCTCGGATATGTGGTCGTCATATTACTTTTTATCCATTTTCTTCTATTATTTACAGAAATGGTTCGTTCTCTGCTGTTACTATGTACTGCCTCTATATTCCTGGAGACCAAGTAATATTGCCTGCATCACTCACTCTCTTATTCATGGAGCTGAGTCCTTCTTGAGAAGCTGCTAATTGTGCAGCTACTCAAGAAATTTCCAGGATTTGATAGAACCTAAAAGTTCATTACCGTGTTCACAAGAGCCCTCCACTGGTCCCTATCCTGAGCCAGATCAATCCAATTCATAACATCTCATCCTATCTCTCTAAGATCCATTTTAATATTGCCCATCAACCTATGTCTTGGTCTTCCCAGTGGTCTCCTTCCTTCCGGCTTTCCCACAAATATTCTATATGTATTCCACCTCGTCCTCACTCGTGCTACATTCCATACCAATCTCATCCTCTCACTTAATCTTTCTAATTATACTGTGAGAAGAGTATAAGTTATGAAGCTCCTCATTATGCAGTTTTCTCCAACCTCCTGTCACTTCGTCTCTCTTCGGTCCAAATATTCTCTTCAGTACCCTGTTCTCAAACACCATCAGAGTAAGTTCCTCCCTTAAAGTCAGAGACCAGGGTTCACACCTACACAGAACCGATATTGACTGCATACCAATGTGTGAAGTTTTTTCTTTAGTAATATGCTATAAGTTTTACAAATATTTTATCAAATTTTCAGTGTTATAACGTGTTTGAATACTTCCAACTAATACTATGTTATTATATTTGGTCCTGTTTTCGTAATGTTGTGTTTAATTCCCTTTTCTGGCGGCCAATAGAAGGCCGGTGCCGGTCACGGTAGCCGAGCGGTCTAAGGCGTGCACTGTCTTCGCTCGCTCGGAAGCCGGGATCGTGGGTTCGAATCCCTCTCAGGGCATGGATGTTTGTGTGCGTTTTTCTGTATTTGTGTACAGGTAGAGGTCTTGTGACGAGCTGATCACCCGCCAAAGGAGTCCTACCCTATGTCTAAGATCTAGAAAAACCGAAGTGAACGGAGAAGTTCATGGAGGTAGGCCTAGGCCCACTGGGGCTCTAGTGCCAAGAAAGAAAATAGGAGGCCGGTAGTTCGTCATTAGCTATCGCTGTTCTTACGTTCCCGTCATAGATGTCACGAGAAAATTTTACTTATATTTTGCCTTTGTGAAATTATATACAGGATAATGTCAAGGTAAGCTTCAGTTGAACTAGTTGAAAGTTTTCTTTAGACGTCTTCGGTCTTGTCATGCCTTTCTGAGAGAGACTGTCCTTCGGTGGCATTACCTTTATACCGAGTTGCATCAAGTTTTTTACATATATAATTAGCCTGAGATATAGGGGAACTCATGCAAAAGGACTTAGCAGGGCTTCAATTTTATGCAAAATGAACGTAACTTAGGAAATCGCATTTTTATGATGCTAAACTAAAAAAAAATTATATGACAATGGGCCATTCTTCCACTGAGGCGATGCAGTGTCTACTATGGTGGCACGTATTATTTCCCACGAACAGCTGAATATAGCCGACAATAATAATTAAGTCCCCATATTCGTCCACCACGCTCGCCTGTAATGCATCAAGCCACCGTGTCACGTCAGCGGAAACGGCGCTGCCAAGACGGTCTGATCAAGCTCCATTAACTTCAACTTAAGTCACCTAATCAGCAGCCCAGTCCACGTAGAAGGTAACCCTACCCCTGCCTTAACATAACGCCAATCAGCAAGGACTAATAGTCGTTATTCAGTGGTCTTAGCGGCTGGAAGGTGTAAAGCTACGCCCTGTCAAGTGTGGATTACAATGAGTGTGATTTTAAACCTACGTTTCTCTCAGTAGTGGTTACAGTTCCTGTTCAAATAATTCTGGCTCTCATTCTTCACAGCACATCTTCTGCAGTAATTCCGGTGAAGTATTTCTTTGAAATTCTTTGGTCGTTTTGAAAGATTTTATCCAAGTAGCCTCAGAGATTTAAATAAAACTAGATGTAAAAATTTGTGTTACTTTAATAAAGAACTTTGGGGAATGCGCCAAGTTTAATTTGACTAAGATTGCTGATAAAAAATTTGTCGAAAACTTTTGATGTGTTTTGAGGGATCCTTGAGAAATGACTGCGGTTGCGATTATGAATCATGATCACGCCTCATTGCTCTGTCGGTTCCTGTAGGAAGCTCCTGGAGCGACAGCCGCAGTTTTTACACGTGGGCGCGCCATGACTCAGAGGCCATCGGATGAGATTCATTCGGTTGCCACCAGACTGCGTCGCCGTTTGAGAAGAGCTACCACATCACTTCGGGTGAGTTCAACTATAATTTAAATGCAATTCGATACAACCCGTGTATAGTTTTTATAATTAAAATGAGCGAAATGGTAATTATATTCTCCGTGGACAGTATCGGCAGAAAAGAAATTCCTGATAAGAAGTCACATGTTTGCTAAGCCTATAGGCATTGTCTTCTTTCCTTCTGCTTCTTTTTCTGTTTTTGCTTCTTCATATCTCTGAAGAAAGATGAAGGCATATTCAGAGGCAAGTAACAATGAAAGGTTTTGTGCCACTGGATTCACAATCTTCAAATGATTCCTTTGTAATTTTGCTTATAAAATTCGCTTTTATATTCAATTATTGCATGTATAAATTTACTGTTACGGAGCTACTGTACATCGAATTAATTGTACTGCTTAGTTAACCTATTTTTGGTTGTGAATCATTGAGTATACTTGATGACCTAAACGAAATTTGTGGCACCCGGTAGAAGGTGCGATTACCCAGGTTTGTCCTGTGTTCTGTTACGGCAGACTTTTTCAGAAAATGAAGACGAAAGCGCCGACATTGCTGTTTCATCTTAGTGTGAATTGAAAGTCCGGTCTGTACAATGCAACGCGCCCAGAACTCACAGGCGTTGCTGTACACGCTCTGTCTTTAGAAGATCCTGAACATCCTTCACGAACCGATGGAAACTGAATGCTTTCCTCACCGGTAGACCCACAGTCTTATACATTGTTCTCCAGCCTATTGGGCTAATACGTTGATGGTAGTGCCGAAAAAGGGAAAAAGAAAATCACAGAAGTTCGATTCTCTGTGTATGGTATGGCCCTTTCAGGTGGCTTCATGGCCTGAAGGATCTGCCTGTTGTCATAGCCGCTTTGTTTCAATGTCCGAAAATTCTATTTGTGCATAAAAACCACCCCGTGAAAAAGTATGGGATTTATTAGGCATTATTTTGCTGGGTAGTAAATGGATGTGAGTAGCAAATTTTGTGCCCCGAAGTAAGGTACCCGGTACCTACTATATAATATGAGGAAAGTGACTTGGACCCAAAGCCAATCTGGACGTCGTTAGGAAGAGAAGTATTTATGTCCATGCCAATAGTCGAACCATACTCGTCCAGACTGTAGACGATTACTTTGCTATTTCGAAAGGAAATGAAATTCACTCGACGATTTTCCGATTAGCACCAAATGCCAAATATGATTTAAATCCATTCAGAATTTGCAATAAGCGGGTCTCTTCCTCTACCTCTTCAGGGGTTCTATTTGTGTGTTTCGTGCAATGCTTTCATAAAGGATGAAATATCCACACATTAAGTGTAATTGGTAAACTAATTGATTAGTTAATAACTTCCCCGTTGTCTGTGACTGCTACAGACAAGATGGCGGCGAGCGTACAGAAGTCGAAGTCACCAGCAACAGGACACGCAACAAGAAGCAGGAAAGGAGGCCCGCGCCCCGGCGACTGACGGGTTCTTGGCTAAGTTCTCGAGTGTCGCCGGGGCGCCCGTAGAATCAGATGCTTACGACAGCCAGCAGGGCTCAGCAAACCGTTGGGAAACCCGTCTCGCTGTGGACCCTACGAAGCCATTCCACTACAGGGTGAGCGCACACATTTCCTAACATTTCCCACTGAGCGGTGTGGAAAGTAGGGCCTAGCTCAGTATCTTATTCAGTTTCATACAAAGTTATGCAGGGGACACGTGGTAGCGTAGTTAGTTCAGGCACTATGCTACAACCCGGAAGGTCGCGGGTTCAAGTCCCGATGAGGTCATTGGATTTTTTAAATTGACCTAATCCTTCCAGCCCTGGTGTCGACTCAGCTTTTAACAGAAATGAGTACCAGGAATGAATTAAATAATTTTTGTGGGGAGTAAAGAGCGGCCGGCGCGTAAGGCTGACAACTTTACCGCCATCTTTGAGCCGATTTTCTAGATAATGTGGGTCCCTCAACGTCTCACAACCCTCTGAGCCTTCACGGCCTGGTACAGGGATACCTTTACTTTTACAAAGTTATGCAAGAGTGTGTGTTATGTGTCTGTGCGTGTGCACATAGAGTGGCCACAAAGTCCCAATGTACGCTTATTAGAAGATATCTGTGTGCTCGCCTCCAATCTCAGCACACATTTTAATTTTTACACATGTTCTTCCAGACATCTTCCATGTTAAATGTTTGAACTCATTAAAGCAGTTCCTGATAGCTTCATGTAGATCTTCAACTGTTGTCAGATGGAGTTGAGAAATTGCATGGAATCATTTTTACCATTGAAAGCCATGAATAGTTCTCACTGTTTCCAGGACTTTTATTTCCCTGATCTTATACACCAAACAACCCCCCACAAATCTAAGACAAGTAACTAAGAGATGGTACAGTCTCACGCATAGAGACCTTGTGGTCACTCGGTACATTACTATACTAATATTATTCTTTATAATTCTTCGTGTATTTAATTTTTATTGTGCTTTACAGCTGATAGATATAAAATTAACAACTCGCACCGTTTTAGGAACGTGTAACAAAAAACCATGATAATAAAAGAATACTTCAGAGAACTAGGCTTAGATGTAAGGATAATATTTAAATGGATCTTAAGAAAATTAAGGCGTAAACTAGATTTAGCTGGATGTAATGTTGGACTTTTATGAACGAGAGCGTTCAGGGTCCATAAACAGCAATAATTGGACCAGCTGAACTACAATCAATGTTTCTAGAAAGACCCTGCACTAGAGAGTTAGTCGTTCATAACTGGCGTGTCAAGTAAACGTTATACTAAAATAAGCACGGCTATTCTGGGGGGGGGGAAACCCTGAGAATGTAGCAAGTATCGCGAAAGTGCAAAATACGGAGTGCAAAACAGGGACTACTGCTGCTGCACTTTCAGAAATACTGCTTGATGTGTGGAAACGCATTTGCCATGCTCAGGCTAGCGTGGAGGGTCTTGAGTGTAACACACAGACAGGACTAGCATTTTCACTGCAAGCAGGATTCAGTCCTACCCCAAGCGGGTCGTTCTGTCACAGTTATCTTACAATTATTCAGGTGCCTGAAGCCATTTCAGGAATGAAACCTCAAATCTTGCGGCACACCTTGGGCGAGTAATTAGCATCCCTATTACGTATTCAGGTTGCTTCCCGTTCGATCCTCGTCCACGGTCTGGTTGGGTTTTCTTTCTTTTATATATTATCGCCATGCAAATGGTAGCTAGGATCTTAAAATAAGATCAACATTCTTCCCTTGGACGCTGATAACCTATACATTTGAAAGTTTCGTTAAATATTTTCAGAATCAAACAACATAGCCAAGACCGACCATCGCAGTCGAGTTGTTATCACCCATATCTTTTGGTAGAGAGGTCCATGATTTTGTTTCTGTTCAGGAGATTATTCTGTCGCGTTGTCTGCGACCGCGTCCTTCTACATTATTCTCCAATCATCCTATCATTCGACGCTAACGAAAGTATCGTTTAATGAATTATATAAATATAAAATAAATAAACAACACCACCGCCGTTAAGGTCCGTCTTCGGAAAATATATTGAGCTAGTCGTATCTCGTTTCCTTCCTCCCTTCCTCCGTGACATTTAGTCCACAAACAAACTATACCGACCGAGCGACCGCTGCTTGTCGGCGAAGTTAGTGCCAACTTTTGCTGATAGAGAGTGTCGTGTGGTCAGCGCAACGAAATCCCACGGCCGTTAATCTCGGTGCTCTAGACCGGACGTATCCAGTTAGCTTTAGTAAGTATCTAACATATTGAACTATTCAGTCATAGATGACAATCTAACTCATAGCGGATATTTCTTCCGAAGTGTCCGGCCTTAGAACTGCCACTGTCAAAACCCACATCAGAATTATGACATTCTAATAGCGTTTATTTCTCTGTACTATTTGCAGTGGCTTATGTTGGTCTCTGTAGCCGTATTGTACAACTTCGTGTTCGTGATTGGTCGTGCCGTGTTCTGGGAGCTCAACAACGCCGCGCCCGCTCTCTGGTGGATACTCGACTACACCTGCGATATCATCTACCTCCTTGATATTCTAGTTCACGCTCACGAAGGTAAGAGAAAGTTTCCAACTACAGGGTTCCATTTGCGCATGCTTACAGTCAGCCTATAAATAACAGTGAAGCTCGGAGAACAGGAGGGTCCACTACTGGAACCAGAACATATTTCTATGTCCAGTCTGTTTCCCATGTTCTAACGACATACAGGATTAAGCGGGTTTCGTTTCTAACAACACAGAAATCTCTAACTGAATATGTATTAAATTCTGTACGAAGATTTTGCTACAGTGGCTTATATTAAAAAAAAACAACTCCGTGGCCTGTATTCCGCAAGCGAACTTTACCGACTTAGCGACCGCCGATTGTCGGCGAAATTAGTGCCAACTTTTGCGGACAGAAGGTCAGCGCAACGGATCCCCACGGTCGTTAATCTCAGTTTTCTATATCGAAGCCAATAGTTCCTTGAAATAGCTCCTCAATTATCCTCACGAAGCTGAGTGGACCCCGTTCCAGATCCACTACTTCTCAGAAAATCTGGTAGCGCCGGGAATCGAACTCGGGACCTCTGGTTTGGTAGCCACGAACTCTGACCACTAGACCACATAAGTAGTCCTATATTAAACACAGAAGAGAATAAATGACAAAAGACGTAGATAGCAGTGGTGAAGAGGGATGTACCACGAAGTATAAACACACGGGTGTAGAAGAGTAAGAATATGACCAAGGACATGCTCGAAAGAGAATTTCAGGTACGGCACGAACATAAAATTCCATAAATTCCAGAAGAATGCGTTGCAAGAAGGGCGCGTCGGTGGCGGGTTTTCAGTTCCTTCCCTCGAGCGGTGTGAAGTGGCGGCTGCTGGAACAAAACGAGGGAGAAGTAACACTGATGCCGAAATTAATATGTTAATTAAAGTATTGTTTAACGATTGTCTTAAACATATAACAGTGGTTTCAATCTTCGTTCTAAACATATACAGCATGTCCAGTTTCATGCTAAATTTGGTTTGTGATTTTGTTATAAATACGAGGCGCGTCTGTGAAGATTCTGTCAGTTTTGAGAAGTATGAGGTTTGCGAAAATATAAGCCTTTGGGATTTCTTCTGTTAATCTTCATGTGCCGGTATGAGGAATTATTTAGTCATTGTTCAATGATTACTTCTATACACGCGCGATTATTACAGAGTCGTCAAATAATAGACGTAAAACAGAAGGTACAGTTCTGTACCTGAAAACAAGGCTACTAAGAATTATACTTCGAGTGGAAGTAAAACACTTGGAGGCGGTGGGTTACCAGCTTCACGCTTCGGCTGTTCTTCCCATTGGGACGAGTTCCGGATGCCCACCCTGTAGATGGTTGAATGGACCATGAAAATCTATATACTGTATAGTGGTGAAATGAAGACTCCATGCCAAGCAAAGAACAGAATTTTAGTGGCCAATATATTCTGACTCCAGTAATGCTGAAATTGTCCTTCATGAGCACTATGCCACGAAGTAATGCAGGGGAACTTAAGTACTGAAGTATAACTCCACATATTCCTAATCTAGACACTAGATGGACGTGATTTGATTGACACTCCGGCCACCTTACCGTCACGGAATGTGTAGAAGCTTTAGGAGACGAAGAATTAACTCTGTCCTTGCTGGAACAGAAACCCTGTTCCTCTATGGCTAAAACAGTCACTTCATTAAAATATCAGGGATCGTATTAATGATAAAGACGGCTATAACTGGAAACAAAAGAATGAAATACATTCACATTTGCATCATTGTCGTGTACCTCATGTTTCGGACTCACAGCCAACCACCACCTTACTGAATACAGGTTAGGTTATGAGTCCACACGTCGTAATCACGGATAATCCAGCCGTGGCACAGGTACCAATCGCGATACACAGTGCAGCATTCCCACGACACTGAGGACTTCGCGGAAATTTACTGACGTGGTTGAACACGTGCAATACATATGACCACAATATGTGTAATAGTGTCACTTTGAATTTTGAAATGTAAGTTGCTTTCCGTGTGGGTGGACCCATTGATTGTGATCGGAAAATTTCATGCATACGTAATTTTAGCCACAACCGACAAAAAGAAAAACAAGAACTGAACAAAAAAAACGACACCTGTTCGGTTTAAACAGGGCTGTCCATAGAATTTAAAGAACCTGACATGTTACTCTATAAAGTTTTATGGACTTTTGCTCAAGGATTTGTACTTCGACCGGCGGAAAAATTTTGATAGGATCTACGTATATATGCAGAATTCTTCTGTATCTTCCCTGACGAGTGATGTTAAATCAGAATAAACAGTAAGATTGGATTGTGTCATGCCAGGAAGTAAGTGACAGAATTATGATGACAAACTGATCATTATATTCCTATCTATCAGAAATGTTAACTTAATGTACAATTTCATTAATTTCCTTCAAATTCAAATTGAAAAAGATTCCGGGTCAGCCACCCATTCTTACCCGGGTAAAAACATCCCAATTTGTTTCGATTATAAAGATATTTTTGTTGAAACTGGACCCCGTTCCAGACACACTATTTCTCAGAAAATCTGGTAGCGCCGGAAATCGAACCCGGGACCTCTGAATCTGTAGGCAGGAACTCTGACCACTAGACCACAGAGGCGCTCTACAGAGAACAGCTTTCTAATAAAACGTAATGGACCTCGAGTTGAGAGGACCCACAAAACTAAGTAGGCTATAAGATAGAGACTTTTTCGAACAGCAGGCCTATTTGTGTTCTCCTGTTGGATTCACAACACATGTTTACAATCGAAGACCTTCGGATTTAAATAAAGGGTAAAAAGCAGCTAGATACACGTGTGAAAATGTATAAAATTATACTTAATTGTTTCCATGTAAATGTTGTTTTAAAATGTACTACCGCGTTGCTTTGTCATTGAAATATAGCAGCAAATTCTATGTTAAAATTGTTATTGACCTGTCACTTTCAGCGCCTTTCCTGCTTTAGTCCACATTTTTTTAAAACATAACGCCACTGCGGTAAAATTTCCTGCTGTAGTCCCACAACACTCTCCTTTCCTACACGCAGTTAACCCGGGTGCTCATTGCAAATATTGGAATGGACGACACAAATGTTATTTAGCTAAACTGGTCTGATGGACCGCGAGACGTTACACCAAAATATCTCATTGACACTAATCGTTCCTGCAAATTTCAACCTGTTTATCTGTCTGACTCTACCCAACCTCCACCGAGATGTCCCGACAGAACACGTATCCACTAGAACAGCGGCCATGTTAGGAGGTGTGAAGCAGACTTTCCAACCCGACGAACTGGCAGCCCCACTGCACATCTGCGCCATCTAAACGTTCCATGCAGCTGTACGATACAAGTATACACCTGAAAGACGGTGAGATGGTTAGCAGTATGCTTCTCATTCAAAGGGTTCCCACTTCGAATCTCTGTAGACTGGAGACTGGATGAACTCGCGGGGTCTTCGTACATTCGTCTTAAAACAAAGTTCGCTTATTTTCATGTCGTTCTAACTCCGCTACTCGCTATTATCCTAATTTAATGTTTAAGTTGAAATAAATATGGCGCCGAAGAAGAATGCAGTCTCCGTGTGGCTTTTGTGTGAACCGATGTTTCGTAGGAACTTATTGCCTCCATCTTCAGGTTAAAATATCTGTGAGCGAGGAACCAGCTTGTGCAGGTGACTGCAGACCCAGTCTGGAAATAGACCAGATTCAAAAGTGTTTCTGGGTCACTGAATTAAGGCAGCCCGCTGACAGTGAGGTAGAACTCGGTCTTTCCCATATTTCGCTGGGAGCGTCGGTCATCGTGAACATCAATAATTTTAGCTGAACAGAATCTGTCCCAGTTGTCGGGATCTTTTTTGTTCTGTTTGCCGCAGTTCCGTTCCAAAGTATGGATTTCACTGCCAGCTGAACGAACCAGTAACAAGCCAAACTTCAGGGTAAGCTTATAACACATACATGAGTGACTCGTAACCGATATGAAAGTTAGTTCTTGGTTTTCATCTTATCTAATCTGATCTCAAATTGTGTGATACATAATTTTATGTGTTTGCTTGTTAGCCCGTTAGGCTTCCAGTAATGAATTAGGCTACATGAATAGTCTTATAAGCTTCGACTCCATATTATTCACATTAATAACATTAAGGATTCTCAAATTATTAAATGGGATACGAGATATTTAATCATGAAAACCATTTCCATCAACATTAGTCTTGTAAGTTTTGAGGTTTTCACGGCGATGACTATGAAGAAAGTTGTCTTCTGGGTTTTGGCGCCGTGTATTCTTCGTTTTGGCCGACGTTTCGGAGGAACGAAGAATACACGGCGCTAAAACCCAGAAGACGACTTTCTTCAACATTAGTCTTATACGTACTAAGCAAAACATTTCAGCGTATTGTCGCATGTTTCGTAGGTAACGAGACAAGAAACTGTTTGGGCGTATGATTTGGACGAATATTTACTGGACGCTCACATTTCGGACTCACAAACCCAATTATTCACATTTATAACGTCTTCGAACGTTTCCTTTTCAGTGTTATACACTCTTGCACCGCTAATCTCGGTGAAGTGTCTCTGCTCGGAGCTCAACTGTCCTTAGCTCTCGTCAGATACGAACTTACTGGGCTCCAAGTCCAAGTTACATTGCGACTGACGGTCAGTCAGTCAGTAAGCCTTGGTGTCGAGCCCCATCTGGGGATCATGACCAGATATTTCTTACTGTTTGGCATTTACGGTCTTGTTTTTGTGGGGTGCCCTCTCTGACGAGAGGACGGGTCTGCCTTTTGTGCAGTCTTTCTCGGTTCTGAGTCCCTTGGGACTCGCGATCGTATTTTACTGTCTCAGATTTGAGACTTCCCTTTTCGTCGCCT